TGCTTCTGTGACAGTTTCCTTCGTCCTTCCATGTCCCCTTTAGAGCTCGGTAATTCGATCAACTGTTGGACTCTGGGATGACCTCATGCTAATGACCACCCTCATCCAGATGATCTATTCCCTTGACGACTTAATCAAGGTTCTCCTTACACTATAGTTGAGATTGGGATCACTTTTGCACCCTAAAGCAGAAGGTACATACTGTAGATGGGACTCATCACCCTAGGTCCCTGAATAACCGAGGGCCATCCACTAGCCTAGAACACCAGCCTCAGACCGTACTACATCGCGTCTCCTAGTCAGTCTACAAAATTTTCATGTCCTACATCTTCTGAGGAGCATCCTTGACTACTACTCTCTACTCTTCATGTTCATCACACTCCATATCTGCTCACCACATCTTCTGGTACTTAACTCCAGGGAACCCCTGACTTATGCCATGTTTGAGCTAGGACGAATTCCACTTATGACCATGCCGCTGTGTGTACGTGCAGGCATGTGTTCACACATACCTTGTTGCTAGTTATGTATATTACATATAATGCAGCAGCACATCATTTGCGGATGTTATCATTCTCAGATGTTCAAAGAGCAGATCTTTTTATAAGATACTGCTAATAAATAGCAACAATAATGAAAACTAAAAAGAGAGAAAAGAAAAGACACTCTACTTGCATCGGAATCAACTTACAATGGAATCGTTAGCATAGAACCGCTTGTAAGTCCCAGACTACCTGCACATGATTCCGATTTGGTTCTGCCTGATGGCATCTACTGTTTTGGTTATTTGTCATCACTTCTTGTCTCGTACACTAGAGGGAGCTCCTAAGTTGTGACACCCTGACTCTCATCCTTGTTCCCTCAGCACAGCTTTAGTGAATAAGGATGGCTTCCCAAACAGGCACCTTCCCCAAGCGGGGGGCCTCAGTTGCTGTGTGTGTTAGGGGCCATCAGCTCAGAACTGGTCCCTTCACCAGAGATTTGAAGCCCACCTTCAGAGCCAGCAGCAGATTCCTGACCAACACACGCACAAAAGGATGACCACAAAAAGTGGGGCAAGTTCTCCAATGACAATCAAGTTTCCATAGCAGCTTTCCCTGCAATCGCCCATAAATTTGGGAGCAACCAAGATGTCCTGTCTAGATGAATGGGGAAATAAATGGGCACAATGGAGTATTTTACTCGGCAATAAAATGAGCTGTCATGTCACACACAGATCTGAGGAACCTTAACTACATACTGCTAAGCGAAAGAAGCCAGTGTGTACATTTTACATATTGTTTCATTCCCACAAGGTCAAACTATAGGCACAGAGAAAAGATCAGTCATTGCTAGAGTCTACAGGGGTACACATGGCCTCTTTGAACATGTTATCAGGAGTTCTGGGGGAGGAGCAAAAGGCCGCCAGGCAGTTTGAGGGCAGGGAAAGTATCTGTATGATACTATAATAGTGGACACCTGTCAGCAGGTATTCATCAAGACCCTTAGAACCACACAACACGAAGTGTGCTCCATAATGTGAACTAAGGACGTTAGTTAATACTCACATGTCAATATTGGCCCATCAGCTGTCACTTGTGGCCCATCAAATACCACCGGCATGCAAGAGCCTAACTGGAAAAGCAATGTGCGCAGTGGGGGGAGGGGGGACATACGGGGACTCTGCATTTTCTGCACATTTCGTTTTCCCTGTAAGCCTCACCCACAGCCCCACCAGAGTTGCTTGCTCTCCAGTCGTCTATTAGAGAAACTTTTCAACTGAGCTTCAGAAACCAGGCAAAGCTAGTCTCCAGCTAAGACCTGAGACCTTTCCTTGCTTTGCTGACTTCCACTGTCCTGTGTGATATTAGCTTTATTGTGCCAATGAGGCTTCCATAGGAACATGTGGGCAGAATTTAATCACAGCTGGATTGGAGGACGATGAGTTAAATGTAATCACAGCTGGATTGGAGGAAGATGAGTTAAATGACTTTCTAAGGCAGCCCCTTCCCTCTTTGTCCCTGGTGATAGGACCAGCACTCTGTTGCCTGAGCTAGTCCTTTGCCTCAACCATGTGCTGCACTCCTGTGGGCCAAGCCAACCTGTGGATGTGTCGCTTTGCCGTTATCAGGACACTTTGCTATGTTCCCGTGCTACTGGCCTCTGCTCCATCTCAACTTCTCATCTTCCTGCTGCTGCTGCCCCTCCCTGCTCATCTTGCCCGAGGGCAGACGCCATAGTCTGCTTCTTTGACTTGGACCAGTAGCCCGAGTGAGTTGAAGGACCTTCAGTATATTAAATGTTCCATGAAAGTGAGTTGAACTGAGCCTTCTGTACTGCTTTGTGGACTAGTGATATGTTATATTCTTTCTCACTATATAAACCTATATATATGTGTGTGTGTATATAAAATCATAAGTGTCCTGGTTTTGTTCCTGCCTAATAATTCGCAGCAGCCATTTTTCTCCAGGGAATTGCCTCAGCTCCGTGGCATCAAGGGGGTTGGTGCCACCCAGTGTAGGAGCTCATAGTATCATCCCTCTAGCCACACGGACCTCCTCTCCTACCAGACCAGACTTTGGCCTTGCTGCCTCATCTCTAGCTGCTCCCCACAGTGTGCACTCAGCCTTGGCCCAAAGGGAGCCCAGCCTTGGAGCCACTTAGGGCCCCCAGAACCCGTGGGCCACTCCTTCTGCACCCACTGGGCCCTGGTGCTTACACCTGGCCGAGGGCCTTCCAGCACCTCCTGCTGCAGCTCACACGGCGCAGATGTTTTCTAGAGACATTTTAGTGTCACTCCTTTAACAATGTTACCCACTGAGGTCCACATCCCCCAGTACAGCCACTGCTTCAGCTGGGGGAGCCTCCTTATAAGCATTCCTCCCTGCCAGAGTAACTCGCCATCGAGTTCATGGAGGTACAAATGGCCGTTTGGGCTATGTTTTCAGGAGAGACTGGTCTCTAGAAAAGTACATATTTGGTAGAGGGTCAGCCAAAAAAAAATTAAAAATAGGGGACGACCGTCCACGCGACGGATGGATAGTGATGCCACAATGGCACCATTGTGAGGGTGGTGTGAGCCGCGCAGTGTTCCGCTCCGTTCTGCACCGGGTGGCTGTGTCAGAGCAGACTCCCTAGCCCCTGACAGCGACCACGGGGAAAGGCCAGGCCTCTTACCTCAGGGACTGCAGCTCTGCCAGGAGGTTTCTGCCCCGGCCACGGATGAGGGGGGGCTTCAAAAAGCTTGTGGGAAATGGCATGAAAAGATAATGGAATTTCCCATAAACGTTTTGAAGACCCCCCCCTCCGTATGACAGTTCTCTGGGGATGAGGCCCAAGCCAGTCTTGACCTGAAACCACAGCTGTGTACCCCTTTTCCCTCTGCCTACTCCAGTCTCTCTTCTAGGTTCTCCCCAAAAGGCACTCCCTCAATACATGCCAACCCAAGCTAAGACCCCCTGGGGTCAATACTCTGCTACCGTTTCCCCCCATCCTCTTCCCACTCACTTCTGGGGCCTGCTCAGACCCCCCACTCTGGGACAGGTGTGCCAGGGAGTGCCATTAGGTTGAAGGTGACAGGGGCTACATCAAGGACAGGCGGGTTCTTCTGCACAGGGTTTGTCAGCAATGCCTTTGTAAGTCGTCATGTGTGTAACGCTTACACCAGCGCCTGTCAGAGCAGATAGTAAGTGTATTGTTAGGACAAGGATTTCTTGGATTGTTTTGGTTCAAAAACCTTTTGGTTCCCAAGTGCTGCTAAACGAATGGCTAGCATTCGAGAAATACCTTTTGAATGCGGTTATTAAAATGTTGCTGCAGGGCTCAAGGAGGTGTGCTGGGAATTGGCCAGCAGAGGGCAGAAGCCATGCGGACAAAAATGCTCTGAGCTGTCTGAGGGGAGTTAGAGCTCCCAGACACTGGCAGGAGGGGTGGAGCTGGAGGTGAACTTCATGGAGTGCCTACCTCATAGATTATGAAAAAGAATAATGATACTGAAAATCCTAATTTTGTTTTGTTTTGTTTGTAGGTCAGGCCTGGGTATTAGGAACGAGATACAGAGTTCCTCCTCAGTGAATCCGTACCAATGAGTCATTCCAGGCCCTGAGATCCTGGGCACTGCTCTGGGGTACGCAGCAACTTTGACCTTGTGAGTTGCCCCAGAATCCTCTCAATTTTAAAAATTTCAAATGCATACCCTTTTCCGGGTAGATCCCGGCTTCCCCAAAGGAGCGGCGGTGGCGATAATGCAGAGATGGAACAAGCAGGTCGGAGGAGACAGCACAGCTCGTTAATGTAGCAGGAAAGTCGGGATACACTGGGGACAGGCCCCCAGCAGTCTACCCTACTGAAAGGGCGAAAGTAGTGAGACCCCTTTTATATGTCTGGCAGGGGCTGTTGAGCTCAGGGCTAGGGTTGTTTGTTTGTTTTTAAAGGCAGTTGTCCCTGATTAGTTGTGTCCTGGTTGGCTGGGACCCAACTATGTTCTTATTTGGCAGGGCCCTGGGTAGTCAAGCTCACAGCCTCCGGCTTCCCCATTTCTAATAGAGGTCACTCATCAATTAGACCCGTCAGGCGTCTTTCCCTGACCTTGTCCATTCTATCCTGGTTTTCAAGCTCAGTTCAAACTCCACCTTTCTCTGATTCCTCTAGATCCTAGATTCAACTTTATTTCTCAGAACTCTTACAGCATTCCTTACCGGACCTTTCTTAGACGTGGTTACATTCTGTACTTTATTAGGGAGTCTGGGCTGGATGGTGTCTAAAGCCCCAAACAGCTATAGATTTCTGAATTCATTATCTTCTCATATGTCACACCTCTATCGGCAGGTCTCATGCTCCTCCTGCAAGCAGAGACGAGCTGAGGAAGGGGCTGCACACACAGACCATTCAGCAGAGACCTGCAGGGAGCCAGCCAATAGAACCACTGATTGGAGCAAGTGTGCTTGAATAACTTCATTCCAAACAGACATAGGTATTCATTTCTGGTTTGTTTGTTTTTTAAGTAAAAATTGTTTGTTCTTTACTCATTTATTATACAAGTTAACATACTTAGGATTCAATAAATCAAATGTTTTGTAAATGTATAAAGTTGAAAGAGAAAACCACCTATAATTATCCTCTTTGGAGATAAGTGTTATTAAAACATTCTTCCCGAGTTTGCGCTCTATACAAATACAAATATGGACATCTTGATGGGGCTTTCTGGAGACCCCCATGGGGATTTAGTCAATCAAAATCTGCCAAGGAGAACCATGATTAGTACTGGTCGGGGATTTGGAGCAAACGGCTTGTGAAGTCTTCCCTTACCACATGGCATGTGTAGATCGAACCACATGAAACTACAGGTAGTTCCTGGGTTTTGACCCACAAAACAGCATTCGTTCCCGTTCAGCCGACAGCACAGTACGTGAAGCCTAGAACATCAGAACTGGTAGGGCCCTGAGAGAACTTCTGACTCTTGTACAGAAGAAAAGACAGGATCAGAGAGACATGTCCAGCCCAAGGTCATACAGTACGCCACAATAGTTGTGGAAGCAGAGCTGATTCCCTTTTCCTTGAACCATGGGCCGGCATTTCACACGCTCCTTGTTTAAATGTCACCCTTCTATAAGCAGATTTCAACTTGGTATCAGAATTTCTCACAATCAAAAGGCATTCTCAATGGAGGAAGCGGTCTTGGAGCCAGTGAAGTCACGTGGTCTGGGTTGGATGAGCCCTGGGGCTTTGGAGTTAGTAAGGCATAACCTTCAGGGCTCAGGGGCCCTAGCAGTGTATCAACATGGCAATATGTTTTTGTAAAATTGGCAAAAGTATGGTATTTAAAAATTATTTTTCTTTAAGAGGTTTTACAGAATCTTATAAGCATCAGGCCCTACCAGGTCCACTCCTGTGTGCACTGGAAGGCCCTGGGCAAGGAGACTAGTGGCTTGGGTTCTAACCCTGGCACCACTGAGGCCCAAATGGGTACGATAGCACTTGCCCTGCTTACCTCACAGAGGGGTGAAATCACAAGTGTTAAATATGTTGGAAAATATATAAAAATGTGAACAAACATAAAGGTAGAGTACATGAGTTGTGAAAAATAAAACCCATCTGCGATAGAAGACAGTCATCGCTGTCTGTCATGGTTGTTGAAGAGAACACACAAAGAGATGTCCCTCCGGCATCTTCCTGTTTCATCTCTCTCTGCTTCAACTTCCACTTCTCTTTTCTCCAACCCTCACACCCCAATACCCCAGCCTCTAGACTACTTACTGGCCATTATCGTTGCCTGTTTCTCAGTTTGTTCATGGGGCTCCCACTCTCTGTAAAGTCTAGGTTTGCCTGGAAAAATCCTTATCCTCAGCTCTGTCATCCCCCACTCTCCCCTTCCCTCCCCACCATGATGACCTCCCTTAGCGCTACTTCTTACTGATCTTGGAGACAGGGACGTGGAGAGCTGATGTGATCTACATCTGAGTTCTGGGGACGTCAGAAGACAAGCCTCACTTGTCTCAATCTCGTGTCACCCTCAGCCTCCACCTATCAGATCACAGACACTCGGTTCTTAATGTACACGTGGTAGGGGTCACTGCGCTTGTCCACTTTGCGAGAACGGGTATATCCCAGGATGAGGCTGCCCACCGTGACAGCAAACAGGAACATGACGAAGAGAACGTACATGTAGGAGTTGTCATCACGGCCGATCCGCTGTTTCTCAGTCTGCTGGTCTGGCTCCGGTTCTGATCTCGGTCCTGGCAGACAGAGCAAGTTGCTGTGCAGTGTCTCATTTAGAGCCTTCAGCACAGCGTGGAGACTCTTGTACAATGTTTCTGTCCCATTGGTGATCTCCATAGCAACAGAGATGAAGGTGAAGAAAAAAAATCAGAGGATGCTCTGGTGGTGAGAGAAGAGAGAGGAAGGCATCTGTTAATTGTAGCTATAATGAGCTGCCCACTCCTTGGTTTCACCCACTTCAGAACTCAGCTAAGGACTCAACATCACAGTTTATCTAACCACATGTTTATCTGTCTGTCTTCTCTACTAGATGCAAGCACAATGAAGGCACACACTATAGTTCTTTTGTTGTTGTTAGCGATCTTGGCGTTGGCCCCTGATCCCTGGATTCCCCACGAACAATGAGATAGGGCTGTTGTGATCCACTGGGTTGATTGGTTGATTTTTGGAAGCAGATCACACCAGGCTTTTCTTCCTAGTTCATCTTAGTCTGGACGTTCTGCAGAAATCTGTTCAGCAGGATAGCAACACACAAACCTCTACTGACAAATGGATGGTGGCTGTGCTTGAGGTGAGTGTCAGGAATTGGACCTGGGTCTCCTACCCGGAAGGTGAGAATGCTACCATGAAGCCCCCATCGCCCCTGTTTCTTTTCCAACCTGCTCTCGACCAGCCCTTAAAGAACACTGGTGGCATGGTGGGTATGTGCTGGGCTATTGACCACAAGGTCAGGAGTTTGAAATTACCAGCCACTCCTCCAGAGAAAGATGAGACTTTCTACTCCTACAAAAATGTACAGCTTTGGGGCAGTTCTACCCTGTCCTATTGGGTCCTGCTAAATCAGCATTGAATTGATGGTGGTTGATCAGCTGGTTATAGACCAGCACTTCTGACAGTATTTCAGAAGGGTTTCGTAAGTACTTGTGCAATAAGACTTCTCTGACCATTAGGACTAATATTAGCCCCTCCTTTCTTCAAAGTCAATAAACTCATGACATTTAGGCTAGAAGGACCTTAGAAGTTATTTAATCTGATTCTTTCCATCTTTCACATGGGGGAACTGAGATCCAGAAAAATTAAGGACTTGTCTATAATCACACAGCTCAGAGGTAGAGCCAAGATAAAGGCCTGGTCTTTGACAGCCAGCTCAGGGTTCTTCCCGTTTCCATGGCAGCTCCCTGCAGGACCATGTGGCACCATGAGAATGGGGCCCATCAGAACTCCCCTCACTTTCTTCCTCTGACACCATTTAGAAGATGTTCGGGACCCCTGAGATTTCACTCGGCCTGCAGCCAGAGCTGGATGATCTGACCCTGCAAGCATCTCATGTCCTGACAACACTAGGTGTTCCTGGCTATTTGACGAAATTGTATTGGGAAAGAAATGGCTGGGGAGCAACATCAGGTTAACAACCCCTGGATGCACTGGGGAGGAGAGGAAAACTGACATGGGGCCGGGAATGGAGTACTCAAGGCTTGGGGTTTTTACCTGCTCCAGAGAGCGAAGACACAGGCTACCATGCACCTCAACTCTTCGACCTTCTAAAACAAAGTCACTTTATACCTGGTACATAGCAGGTGGTGTTGCTCTTTTTCCTCTCTCTACCAATCTCAGATTCGTAGTCTTCAACATAGAAAACCTGCTTTGTATCCCAGCCTCTGAAAACCCAGAGGTCATCCCCTTGAAACAGGCTCTGCACTCACTTCCTTCACAAAGCCTTCACCGGCTGCTCCTCACCCATTAACCCGAGGCTCTATCATTGCAATCAACCCCCTCCCTCCAGTATTTGCAGAAGGGGCATGTGTGGCTCTCCTCAGCCTATTCATAAGGGTCTTCTCGGACTGTATGCTCTGCTCAGCAGGCCTGGGCAGTTCCCCCAGGTTTAAGGGACTATCCTGAGCTGGGCTGGGGTTCTCTTTCCCTCAGGGTCTCCAGTAAAAACTGCTGTTTTAGGAACACTCAGAGTTCACTGAACGACTGATTCTAAAGTGCTCTTTCATGGTGGGAGAAACCCATTAAGATGAACTATCAATAAATCAAAGTTAACAAACATAATTATAACCAGAAGAGTTTTTCCCTGGAAAAGATTGTTCTGATCATGATAAATGATCATAAACTGCTCTATAAGTGTAAAAGGTGTGGGTGGATATAAATAATACAAGATCTATACAGGACCAGCCTGCATTTCATATAAGGCCTTTAGAGTCTTCTGTCATCTGGAACCAGTGCTATCTTTTCTGGGCAGGAGACAGGGAAAAGAACAAAGGCTCCCTAGTTAAGATCCAGAAGGCACAGGCTCTCATTTCCTAGCCCCCTGAGAAATGTCAGGCTCGATCACTTTGCCTCTTCTCTTGAGTGGGCCAATGGAGCGCAGGAGAAGCACGATGGAATAAATGGCTCAAGTAAACATTCTCCCACCATGTAGAGAGGCCCACTCCGGCCCGACCCTGTGCTGAGAGGTGAGGCTCACACTGAGTCCCAGCACTCGGGCTCGTCTCCAGCTCAGATACAATGTAAGGGACAAACCAGGAGCTACTGGGCTTAAGGAAAGAAGTAATGCATTCTGATCAGCACTCAGGGAGTGTTCACAGTGATGAAGGCTGTGAGTTGGACCTGGAAGGGTGTTTAGGGTTTTAGAGAAGGTGGAGGAAGAAAACATCTGAGCACACAGGACACCAGGAAGGTGCATAAAGCATTTAGAAGCCTGGACAGTTGCATAATGAGGCTGGAGCATAAGGTGTATGGAAAGATATGGTAGGATGTGGGGCAGGAGAGACAGGTAGGTAGAAGCCAGGTCACAGTGCCGGGCTGCAAGGTTAGAACTCCATGCCATAGTCGGTGAAGAGCTGTGGAGCGGTATTTTTGAAAGGGATAACCTGGTCCCATCTGTGCTGGCTGCTCTGTGGACTAGCCAATCCAAACCCATGTCACTGCCATGAGTCAATGCCATTCCTCAAGACCCTATGGGACAGGGTAGAACTGCTCCCATGAGTCTCCAAAACCATTACTATTTATGGGAGTAGAAAGCCCTGTCATTCTCCCGAGGAGCAGATTGGTGGTTTTGAACTAAGGACCTTTCAGATTGCAGCCCAACGCACAACCACTAAACCGCCAGGGCTCCTCTGTGCACTAGAGGAAGCGAGGATAGAGGCAGGGAGCCCAGTGACAAAGGTTGTGAAATCCTGCCGGCATCAGATGCCAACTCCTGAACCAAGGCAGAAGGCAGAAAGGATGGCAGGGTGGTGGGGGTTAGAGAGGAGATGTGGGAGGCATTTTGAGGAAGGAGTAGTAGGCTATGTGGGAGTTGAAGGAAGGAGGGGGTCTTGGACAGTTTTCTAGTTGGCTGTATAGGGAATGCAAGTGTCTAGAGGAGCCCATTTTGAGAGAAATAAATTATTCACTCTACTTGGGCTTAGTTTCCTCAATTGTCAATAAAGATTGCCATCTGTGCCCAGCTGCCCACTGGGGCACAGATGACAATCTTGATACACCTTTATTATGTTGAAGAAAATTAAAAAGTTTCCTTTTCATTTTTTAAAAGCAAACAGACATAAAACCACAACAATTGCAGTCAAGTTGATTAATACTCATAGGAGTATAAAACAGAGTAGAACTGGGCCTTAACGTTTCCAAGGCTGTAAATTGTGATGGAAACAGCTTTTCCCCACTGCTGGGTCTGAACCACAGGCGAGCAGCTGAGTGTTAACTACACATACACGGAAAGAGAAATAAGAAGGAAATCAATCAAAATGGCACATGTGGAAATTAGTCTGTTTGATAGTCCCCCCAGGTGTCCTTCCAAGGGCAATCTCTGTTGCACGTTTCCATATCCTTAAAAAGGGCTTTACCTGACAATGCAGAGAAAGGGGAACCTCAATCTGATAACTCACCACCTACAGGAAAATGCTTGGCTCTGAAGAGGAATCGCCCAGGGATCTTGGTCCCTCAGCCTCACCAGGATGTCCCCTGGCACATCTGGGGTCTCAGCCTTGCTACAGGAGCAGGGAAGGCCCAGAGCTAGAAACAAGGGGAGGAAGTAGGAAAGAAATTAGACATAAAGTAAACTTGAGAGATTAGGGTGGATTTCCCGAAGCCAGGCCCCAAGGGTTGTGCAATCATCCCCCCTATGGGCTCTGCCCCACCTCTTTGAGGTAGCTGGAGCAGATCAGCCCAAGAGTTCAAGTGCTGGAACCGTGTAGGGGCCTAGGGGTATCTGATTGCCTACCATGTCTCAACTGGTTGACTTCCTGAGAAACCCCATGGTAACAAGTGGATTCCCTAACAAAACAAAACAAAACAAAAAAAACAAGTGGGTTCTTGCTCGGGAGGCAGCTAATAGTGCAAGCTAAAATCTTCCCTTTCCCAAGGGTGTGTGCCTCTTAGCAGACGCCCCTGAACGGGCGGAAAGGACCTCAAAACCAAGGGAAAAGGATGTGAGTGGTAGAATGGTAGTGGGAATTTGGGTCGAATCATTTACATCAAAACAAATGCTGTTTCACCACTCAATCTCTTTGGGCAGAGAGGGTATACACGTGGCCACAGAAGAAATATCGGTAGTGTAGCTTTGTGAAGCCCTGGTGGCGTAGGGTTATGAGTCGGGTTGCAATGGGCAAGGTCTGTACTTTGAAACCACCATTTGCTGCGAGGGAAAAAGACAGGGCTTTCTACTCCTACCAAGAGTTACAGTCTCAAAAACTCCCTGGGACGGTCTCAGAAACTCATAGAGACAGTTCTACCCTGTCTTATATGGTTGCTATGGGTGGGCATTGACTCCATGAAAGTGAGTGAGTGAGCTTTGTGGTAAGAGTTAAAAGAAAGTCATGCCGTGCCTGGCACATCCTTAAGTAGAGGCCATGGTTTTTATCTTCATAAAGCAGAAACCAGAAGGACCTTCAGAGCCTATCCGCTAACTATCCTCATTTAACGGCGAAGGAAACAAAAACGGGGGGTGGTGGTGGTGGTGGTGGTAGGGGAATGTCTAGCGGCTATGCAACTTCTCTGATCTGTAGGCTTTCTTACAAAGTGCCAATCGACAGAGTCATCCAGGAAGGTGTAAATCATAAAACACATGATGAGACCATGGAAACTGGATAGGCTTATGGGCAAGGCTTTTGGGAGCTTTCTAAACCAAAACCCAAACCCAACAAACCCTTCGCCATCTAGTCGGTTCCAACCTGTATTGACCTTTTATAGGGCTGCCAGGACTGTAGGGGAGCATACAGACATATCTTTCTCCCTTAAAGTGGCTGATGGCTTTGAACTGCTGGTCTTGTGGTTAACAGCCCAGTGCCTGATCCCCAGCACCCTCAGGGATCCTAGTGGCCTTTCTAGAGCTCCTACAATCATAAGACAGAGAAGCCTGCAGACTTTTCTCTTATGGGGTAAGATGCTTCTGCGCTTGGAAACTGAAGGCTCCAGACTTACACCTTATATGCTGGCCTAGATAAACTAAGGACCCAAACAGTTGACTTATTTATTCTTCCTTTTGACAGTCACTGGCAGTTTTGTGGAGCCCTGAGCAGAGATAAGCTCCAGGAGGGAGAGACAAAGAGGCAGTGTCAGGGACAGGCAGGGCTCTGAGCCAGGCTGGAGTGGGCTAAGTAACAGCTCATTAAACCTTCAATACCTCCCAGGGCACCTTGGGAGCATCTGGGTATGTGCGGTTCTGACAGGAGGAGTAAAGAGGTCTTAGTTACCTATCTTTAGATGCTGGGTTGTGTTGGCAGTGCCTGACATAAGGGCATCCTGCTTGGGTCAGGAAGAGTTAAAGAGCTGATGAAGAGACAGTGTGGTTTCTGCACCCAGGCCCCAAGCAGGAGGCAGGCAGGCAGCAACACTGAGAATCGTGTTTCTTTATCTGAGCTCCTTGGCTTCCCTCTCCTGGACAGTCATTGATCACAGAGAACCTCTGATGGGGGAGATAGAGAGCCTGCTCCGGGAAGTCCCTGATTTGAAACAGGAGACAAACTAGTTGGGAAGGGTAGGGAGCAGTGACCTACCAGCCTGTGAGGGCCTGTAAAAATGTCCATCTAGAATCTAGATGCTAGGCAAGTCTTGCGTTTTGTACACAGAGAAGCCGAAGCTCAGAAATGGGAAGAGACTAGTCTACGATGATCCAGTCAATGGTGAAGCTCAGAGGGGAACCTAGGCTTTTGGAGCCCTGCTCTCCCCACTTCGGATGGCAGTATCTCTTTCCATTTGAACTGCAGACAACACCAAACACAGCTTCTTCCTGTCATAGGGTGTCAACTTCTCTAACTCCATTACTACAACCCTTTCCTATCAATTCTTGTGGAAGACCCAATAAGGGTAGAAGCCTGTAAGATTTGGAGGAGGGATTAACCTCATCTCCCATGGCTCCTTCTCCTGCCCGTTGTGCTCCAGATTTGCTCCTAATCCCCTGATACTCTCAAGCCAGACTCTGGTCCTCAACATACTGTTTTGACCATTTCCCCCATGTTAGCAGGTCCTCACGAATTGTTCTCGAAAGTACCCAGCCTCCACATCATTCTCCAAATATTCCTTGCACACCTCTTGCTTTGCTCAGACCATTGTAAATTCCTACTGATCCTTCAAGGTCCGTCTCAAATGTGTCCTCTATAGACCCTCTCCTGAAACACCATCGTCTTCACCTCCTAGCCAGTTAGTCTCCCCTTATCAGAGAGCTTTGCACAAAACTCTATTACAACATTATGCTATACTGACACTGAGATGGGTCTCAAATCTCAAATGTGCGTTCCTGATACATTTTTCTATTGCCCGAGCCTAAGCAAATAGCCGGCACTCAAGAATATTTGAATCACTGCCTCTTCCATCACCCCCTTCAGCACACATATACACTGTTATGGAAAGGGCTACTAATACAAGCTCCTGGACAGAACAAGAACCAGGGAAAAAGAAAATCATTGGGCCTAGGAAAAGGCAGTCCCAGAGCAAGAACTCTGCATGAGGTGGGGTGATTCATGGGAGGAGAAATTCTAAGGCTTCTTTGAAAGTCCAGACACTCTGTGCACCTGGGCCCCATTCAATCCAAAGGGCAAACATTCTTGGCCCCAAAGCACCTGCAATAGTTTTGCAACCTCTTCCCTGTGTGCTTACCCAGGGCGTGGCCACACCCCCACCCAAGTGCACACAGACAGTTCCACTCCCCAGTCACTTGGTTGACTGTGATCTTGCATTTCATGTGTGGCTTTTAAGGTTCCAATCTTGGCTGATGCTTAGCTATGTGACCTTGTGCTAGGCATCGAATGCCTCAGAACCACATCTCTAACCGAAAAGTCAAACTCACTGCCATAAAGAAGATGTTGACTCATAGTGACCCTGTCTCTGCCCTGCTTAACTCATCAAGTAACTGGAGGAGAAAATAGAAGGGAAGGTGTTTTCTATTTTGCAAAATGATATGTAAACACAAGAGCTGATTATCAGCCGGTCTGGGTTACATTGCGTCCTTCTCTGTCTCCAGCTCGTCCTTCAGTCTGTCACCTCCACCTCCCACCCCTGGTGGTCCAGCCTCAGAAGAAGGGAGGTTCTTTTTTTTTTAAAATCATTTTATTGGGGACTCGTACAACTCTTATCACAATCCATACATACATCCATTGTGTCAATCACATTTGTACATTTGTTGCCATCATCATTTTTAAAATTTTTTTTTTCTACTTCAGCCCTTGGTATTAGCTCCTCATTCTCCCCACCCCCATGAACCGTTGATAATTTATCATTATTTTTTCATGTCTTACACTGACCAATGTCTCCCTTCCCCTACTTTTCTGTTGTCCGTCCCTCTGGGAGGGACATTGTGATGAAGACGGAGGGTTTTTATGACTCATGTTGAATCTCAGAACACTTAGATCCTGAGGAAGCCTTCCTTGTTCTCTCCTCTTTCTAATTTTTACCACAGTCCCTTACCATTTAAGGGTCCTATTCTGCAATTCGGTAGAAGACACACCAGAGTGAGAATCAAAAGACCTGAGCTCTTGTCTCCTCTATTTTCCCACTTCTGGGCCTCATTTAGGAGCCCTAGTAGTGTAGTGGGTTATACTTTGGGCTGCTAACCACAAGGTCAGCAGTTTGAAACTCTAAGGAGAAAGGTGAAACTTTTTACTCCCATAAAGACTTACAGGCTCAGAAACCCGAGGACCCAGTTCTATTTAATACATCCTAGACACTCTGAGTCAAAAGCAATAGTTCAAAGGCAGCGAGTTTGGGGCCTCATTTTCTCTATCAGTAACACAGGGTTTTTTATCTTGCTTCCCTCTTGGGAGATATTTTGAGTACCCACCCACTAAGTTTATGGATAAGAAAGTGCTTTGTTGTACAAAGGTGCTTGACACAATGGGTGAATGTATGAATTGTGATAAGAGCTGTTAGAGCCCCCAATAAAAGTATTTAATAAAAAGAAAGGAAAAGAAAGTGCTTTGAGGCTTATGGAGGAGTAAGAGATGAAGGTTAGTAGTGGTCATCTCCAAGAGCCAAGATCATCTCAAAGCAAATCCCCTGCCTCCACCATGCCTCCCATGCTTCTTCCGTTGAGAGTTAACAAAGTGGTGGGTGGTCTCCCTAGGGATACTGAGGCGCATACACATCTACAATACCCCTTTCTAGCAGTGGAGCGCACCCTGCCATCTACTTCTGCCTGGTCCCCAGTGTGACTCTGGCCAGGTCATCGTCCTCCACCCTCACTTTGCCATAAGCAAACTGGTGGGGCGCAAGAAGAGGACATTCAAATACTCTCCACAGAAGGACTGAACCCACTCATTTCCAGGTCAGACCCCTCTTCCATCTGAAATAAGGGGACTACTGGTCCAGGAGGCCCATTTTACAGGGCATGATGGGGGTGGGGGGGTTGGGAGGTGGGGGAGCACGAGGCATAGAAAAGATGGATGACCAGCCCAAGGTTACACCACCTGTAGCAGAAAAGCCCCTAGGGGGTCTCCAGGTTTTCCCTGGGATGGGGGCAGATGGGTTCGGGGTAGAATGGAGTAGGTAATGGACAAATCTTTACCAGCAAGGGG